GTGTGTGTGTGTGTGTGTGTGTGTATGTATGACTATAGAACACTGAGAGTTGTGTTTTCACAGAACAAGTAGTATCCCGTGGCGTGATGACAAGAGCTTCTGGGAGAGATTCAGGGGGGAGTTGATGCCCAAGTTGTAGATCCCAGGAGAGTGATTGGTGAGTTCTTGGAAGGGGGCTCAATAAGCTGGGCATGAATAAACCAGGTTTTCTCAGCCTACTGCCTGGGCCCTGACTCTGTAGTTGTGAACTGCAGACAAGAAGGCTTTGGGACCTCTAAGGGGGAGAGTAAGGGCAGGTGGGGCCAGCTGCTTTTGGGTCCCAAATGCCAGAATGAGGACTTAGGTCTGAGCTGCAGAAGTTCAGGCCGTGCTCCTGGTACCAGCTGGCATGGAGGAGAAAATACAGGCAAAGGCCCATGGATTCTGCACAGAGTCATCCATCTTCTTTTATCTAGTAAAAGCATTCCTGGCCTTGTTTACAGGGGCCTGGTATCCCGGCAGAGCCTTGCCTGAGTCTCCGTGGTACCCAGTGGCTGCCTGTATGCAGCTGCATGCATAGCTTACAAAAGCCACAGGAAGCACAGGAAGTGCCTTGCTATGAGCTGCTGGCTTCAGCCGCTGGGCTGGGCCACCCATGGCAGGTGACTCAGGGCTCCTGTGACTCATGCCTTGTGGGCAGCAGAGGCCCATCTTGGCTAGCGGCTTTCAGAGTGGGAGGAGGCCGCTATGAGGCATTGGCCACTGTCTACCAGCAGACCTGGCCTTCGGACCTTGGACTGGAGTCCACTCATTCTAGAACTCTGTAGTGAGTGCCTACTGTGTGTGCATCCTTGTACACATTGGCACAACATGAAGACAAGAGGACAGAACCCTGAATTCACAGTGATCCACGTTAATGACAGAACAGAATGAACTATGGATGTCTGCAGGCAGCCGCAGCAAGGTTGTGGTACCTGCAGGCTGATTGCAGTCTAGTCACCTTACTGTGCCTTCATTTCCCTATCTGAAAGGGGGGCAGTTGGTGGGAGGATGGAGGTTATAAGTAGGTGAAAGTAGAACCACAAAATGTCTGGTCTGTGAATTGTTTTGTGAGTTGGTTCAGTGTTCATCTGAACTCTTAACGAGATGCTGCAGGCACTGAGCCAGCCTACCCAATACACCTGAGTGCCTGGGGGCTGTTGGTAAATCTGTCTTCTACACAGGTTGTCAGGGGCTCGGCCAATATTCCCAGTCTGCAGCTGCCATGCTGGGGTGGTGCTGATAGACACAGACAGGGATGGGGTGGCTGATGAACCAAAGTGTAGGCCTTGGGAGAACAATAGCTGTCATCCAGGACAGCCCTATCCCTGGTCTCTGAGAGCAGGCTCCTGGGCCAAGGATGTGTTTTTATGGGGTCCTTGGTGAATGAAGCCCCCACTGTTACACTGTGAACTCCTGGAAGTCATCCCCAAGTTCCTGACATAGAGTGGGCATGCTGACAGGCTGTGCCTACCTGGATAAATAAGGGTCCCCCCAAAGCCACCATCTGGGATGGGAGTGTGCTGGAGACAGAAGACAGACCAGCCAGGGAGAAGTAGCAGGGGAACAGAGTATGAGGAAGGTAGCCTGTTGATTCCATACCCAGGGATAAAGCCAGGGACAGGGCTTCCTTTTCCCCACATGGTGACCCTATTTTGTAAAAAGCCAACCTACCTTACAGAGGTCGAATCCAATTGCAAGCAGATACACTGCTTTTAGATGTATTTTCTGTCTAGGAATATTCTGCAAACAAGCATGCATGTCTGCCACATATGTGCCTGGTGCCAAAAAGGTCAGAAGAGCCATCAGATCCTTTGGATCTGGAGTTATAGACTATTGTGAGCCACCATGTTTTCTCCAAGAGTGACACATGCTCTTAACCACTGAGCTGCATTTGCTTTTAAAGAACAGTTTGGTACATTCTGCTAAATGCCTGCACCTGTGTAAGCATAAGCTGGGCAGCATCTAGACGTTTCTGACTCAGGAAGATCCTTTGGGCTCCTTCTCAAGTAATCTGTTCCAACTCAGGGTTGCTCTGCTTGCATGACTCCCCCTCCTGCCCCGTTTTTTCCATAAACACCAACAATGGAAATTTCCAAATAGACTTCACTTATTTAATTTATTTTGAGTCAAAAAGTCTTTTTTTTTTTTCTTTGTCCAAGCTACCTCAGGCTCTTTAGTAGCTAGGACTGCAAGTATATACTGCCTGGGTGTGTACTGCCTGGTGTATACTGCCTGGGTGTGTACTGCCTGGTGTATACTGCCTGGGTGTATCCTGCCTGGCTCTTGGCTTTATTTTCGGGACAGCTGACTAAAGATTGAGCAGATAGTGCAGAGACTGAGGCATGGACCCCCTGCCCTCCCTCCTATCATTACCATTTCCTGTCAAGTTGTTATTGCTAGCTGAAGCCCAGAATCTGCTGTAGCATTCCCTCCCGGTGCTGGACATTCAGTGGGCTTTGACAAATGCTTTCTGCCATCACACAGAATAGTTTCACTGCCTAACACTCCCCTGGGTCCTGCTTACTCCTCCCTCCCTCCTTCCTCATGCCTGGCAACCCCTGATTTTATTGTCTCTTTGGTATTGCCGTTTCTGCAGTGTGGTGTAATTAGAGCCATAGGTATGGGGCTTTTTCAGACAAGCTCTTCCTCCCTTAGTAATATGTGTCTAAGGCTCCTCCACATCTTCTCAAGTCATCTAGTTTGTATATGCTTTGCCGTCCTGAGGACCAAACCCAGGACCTTGTACATGGTAGGAAAGATACCACTGAAAGGTATCTTTAAAATTTTTACTTTGACACAGGGTCTACCTCACTAAGTTGTCCAAGCAGGCCTTGAAGTTGGGGCCCTTCTATCTCAGCCCAGCTCATCTTTCCACCCCCATCTTGTGATGTGTATGCCTGTGTGTGCCAGGATGAGCACATGCCACAGCACACACATGAAAGTCAGAGGACAACCTCAGGTGTTAGTCCTCACCTTTGATACTGCTTGAGACAGGGTCTCTCTTCTACTGTTCACTGCTGTATATGCCAGGTTAGTGGCCCCTGAGGTGCTGGGGATTCCCCTGTCCCCACCGTAGTTTTTGAGGCAGGGTCCCTAGAGTTCACCAGTTCAGCTAGGGATCTGCCTGTCTTGACCTCCTCAGTGCTGGAATTGCAGGGATATGCCCATACTCTTAGGTTTGTGTGAGTTCAGAGGAATTTAACTCCAGTCCCTACACACACAGCTCCAAGCCCGGCTGAGCCATCTTCTTCCTGGCCTCTTTTCTTGTTTTTTTGTTTGTTTGTTTTGTTTTTTAGTCTCACATTATGTAGCTTAGACTTGCCTTGAATTTACAACCCCCTGCCTCAGCACTCTGAATGCTAAAACTACAGTTGTGCATTACCACACTTGGCCACCCTGTTGTCATTTCTACTGTTAGTAGTTTGAGTCATTTTTGTCGGTCTATTTATTTACTTGTGTTTGGTTTTGAGGCAAGATTCCTTTGTGTAGCCTTAGCTGTCCTAGAACATGCTCTGTAAACCAGGCTGGCTTTGAATTCACAGAGATCCACCTGCCTCTGCCTCAGGAGTGCTAGGATTAAACGTATGAGCCATCACTGCTCAGCTTTGTCAGTCTATTTAAATATCTGTTAATTTTGTTGACCTTTTCAATGAATAAACTTTGGATTTGTTGATTTTTCTCTTTTATAAATGTTTACTTCTCGAGGTTATCTTTAATCTGTGCTATTCCCTTCTTTCTGGTAGCTTTGTGTTTGACTTGTCTAGCTGTTCTAGTGTCCGTGGGTCATGTCTGTATGGTGTGTCCGTATCTCCCCCACCACCCCACCCCCGTTCCCTTTCAATTTAGTTGCCTTTTTTTTTTCAAGTTGGTGGGGTGTAATGTTAGGACATGAACTTTAGATTTTTCATTTATTATTTAGTTTTGAGACAAGGTTTCATGATACTAGTTATACGATGTGCTGTATAACTCCAGCTAGCCTGGACTCTACATAGACCACGGTGCCCTCAAACCCATAGAAATCTACCTGCTTCTGCCCCCAGAGTGTAGGAGGACAGCATGCGCCACACCTGACCCAAGCTCTCTCTTCTTAAAAGGTGCGAATCTCTGGCTGTTGCTTCTCCCTCTCAGAGGCTGGCTTGCTCCATCCCTTAATTTTTGTTGTTGTTGTTGTTGTTTTTTGTTTGTTTGTTTGTTTTGGTCTTTTTGAGACAGGGTTTCTCTATATTGTTTTGGAGGCTTGCTCTGTGGACCTGGCTGGGATTAAAGGTGTGCGCCACCAATGCCCAGCTCCATCCCTTAGGTTTTGGTGTGTTTGTTTCTCATTTGACTCAAGGTTGCATTCCATTTATTTTGTGGTTTCATTTTGACCTTTTAGTTCAGTGGTTCTCAACCTGTGGGTAGTGATCACTTCAGGGGTCCAGTAACCCTTTCACAGGGGTCACCAAAGACCATCAGAAAACACAGATATTTACATTATGATTCATGACGGTAGCAACATTACAATTACGAAGTAGTAATGAAAATAATTTTATGGTTGGGGGTCACCATAGCATGAGGAACTGCATTAAAAGGGTCACAGCATCAGGAAGATTGAGGAAACACGGCATTAGCTGTTTAATTCCTACACGTTTGTGAACTCTGTAGGTTCATCCATCTCTAGGTTCGTGTCACGTGATCTGAAAAGAGCCTTTGATTTAAATGCTTTTAAATATTTGAGACTTATTTGTGGCTGAGGATCTGCATGTTTTGTGTTCTAAAGTATGTTCCATGTGCACTTGGGGAAAGTGTGGCTTTTCTATTACTGGGTAGTGTGTTTTGTGTATGACTTTTAGGTTCAGTTTAGAGTATTGTTCAAGTCTTCCATTTCCTTATTGATCTTTTATCTGATTGTCCAGTATGTTTTTATAGTGGTATATTAACATCTTTAAATATTATAGTGGTGTCTGTTTCTCCCTTCAGTTCCACCAGTATCTCCTCATCTGGGGCTTGGATACTTGGTGCCTATGTGTTTATAGTTGTTACCTATTCCTGATGAATTAACCTTGTATTCACATATGCTGTTTTTTTTTTTAATCTCTTGTACCAGTTTTGACTTAAAGTCTATTTTGTCTAATACTAATCCAGCCACTCCTACTCTGGTTTGGTTTCTGTTTGCAATCAAGTGTCTCTAACCTGTTGCCTGTGGCCACAATGTGGCTGGATATGACTGAGGACAGCTGTGAATGTAGCCCAACACCAAAGTGCAAACTTACTGAAAACATTATGGGATTGTTCTTGAACATAATGTTTGTAGATGACAACTTCCCATGTTGAAATGTCAAGAGGTTGGACACGCCTAAGTGAATGCTTTTTCTCCTTTCACTTTAACTCTTTAGTGAGCATTTTGTCAGTATTTATGTTTTAATATTTATGGCATATGTTTTAAGGCCAGCCATGCTGCCAATCTTTGCCTTTTGAATAGAGTTTATCCTATTTACATATTTAAAGTAATTGTTGAGAATGAAAGATTCGTCTCTGCTATTTGTGTTTTGTAGGTTTTTTAGCTTTTTCCATCCTTGTTTCTACCTTTCCTGGTTTCCCTTGTGTTAAGCTAATGTTTTGTGGTGGCATTTTGATTCTCTTATTTATTTTATGTGTATTCTATAGATTTCTTCTTTATGGTTAACATGAAAATTGTAGATGCACCCTCCAGAAAGACTGTTGCCCTTCCAGCAGGTGTGGCCTCCCGTGGTCAGCACCAGGGGTGCCAATATGATCCATCGTGAGGCTGTGCTGGCTCACCCTCATGCATCCACATGTGTTCCAGATCAGACCTACTGTGACCGGCTGGTACAGGACACACCTTTCCTGACAGGACAGGGTCGCCTGAGCGAGCAGCAAGTGGACAGGATCATCCTGCAGCTGAACCGATACTACCCCCAAATCCTTACTAACAAGGAGGCCGAAAAGGTACTGAGGGATGAGCAGGGCCAGGGACCTCTGGGTGTCTCCCCTCTCCGATCTGGAAGAAGCTGCCATAGGCCCCGAGTTGTCTTCTCAGGAATGGGAGTCGCACCTGGTCTTGGGAAGATCCACATGGTCTTAGGTCTCAGATCATCAGGTCTTTATGCCTCAGTTTGGGGAGGAAAGGCTATATTTGGCTTATGCCTCCACATCCATAGTCTGCAACTGAAGGAAGTCAGAACAGGAACCCAAACAGGGCAGGAACCTGGAGGCAGGAGCTGATGCGAGTCCATGGAGGGTGTTGATTACAGGGTTGCTCTGCCTGCTTTCTTATGGAATCCAGGAGCACCAGCCCAAGGATGGCTCCACCCACCATGGGCAGTGCCCTCCCCCATGAATGCCCCACAGCCCGATCTTATGGAGGCATTTTCTCAATTGGGGGTTCCCTCCTCTCAGATGACTCTAGCCTGTGTCAAGTTGACATAAAATTAGCCTTCCTTCACACATGACAACACACAGTGACATAAGAACAGGAGGAGGGAAGGCTGAGGAAGGAGGGATCAGAAGTCTGGACCTGGAACTTGGCAGATAGCCCCATTGGTAAAGTGCTTTCTGTGTGGACATGAGGACTTGAGTTTGGATCCTGAACCTAAAGCCCCAGCAACAGAGATGATGGTAGATCCCAGGGGCTTGCTGACCATCCAGTTAGCCAAACAGAGATGGTAGATCCAAGGGGCTTGCTGGCCAACCAGTTAGCCAAAATGGTGAACTCGAGGTTCAGATGTTTATACCCCCAAAGACCCTCCAGGATCCTGTTATCGCTGGTCAGTTTTCAGCTGTAGCCACCAGGGGGCAGCACCATACAGCAACCTCCCGTCTGGACTCAGTGCCAAGTGTTCTGTGCACGGTTCTTCACAACCGCATCAGAAGGAACTGTTCTTTTCTCAACTGGCTTTTGCAATACTAGACACCATGTTCCTACAGACTGAAAAGGAATAGCAACTATCACGTACGCCAGCATTAGTTCTCTGTCACAACCCCACTACATTATTTCTTCTTCACAAAAGCTGAGTCTCAGAGGGTTCAAGTGACTCACTGAGGCCGCATGGGGAGAAAAGCTTCACTGAGTTGTCATTACTTAGGGTGATGTTCCCCACACCCTGCTTCCTTGGTGACCTCTCCCAGCCTGTTGCCCTGGAGACACAAGTATTAACCAAGACTTAGCCAGCAATTGTTTGCTCCAGTGTTGGGTGCCACATGGGTGGTGTGAGGGGTTGTGAGGGCTCTGAGGTCTCCGGCACTGAGTCTAGGGTCCTGAGTGCACCACCTCACAGCTGTCCCCCCCCAGCTCACCCTTTCTTCTGCCCACAGTTCCGGAACCCCAAGGCATCCCTGCGTGTGCGGCTCTGTGACCTCCTAAGCCACCTGCAGCAGTGTGGGGAGAGGCACTGTCAGGAATTTTACCGAGCGCTGTATATCCATGCCCAGCCCCTGCACAGCCACCTGCCCAGCCGCTACACTCTCCGTAAGTCCTGCCCCAAACCCCTGCCTGCAGCGCTCCACACTCACCAGGGAGGGCGCCGTCTGCCAGCATCATGGAGGTCCTCAGTGCCATCTGAGTCTTCAGCAGCCCAGCCTGGACATCACTCCCTCCCTGGTTCCTCCTCAGAGACCACCCAGGGAGAAAAGCACAGGCTGGCTTATCAGTCTGTCTCTCTCCCTCTTTCCTTCTCTCTCTCTCTGTCGTTCCCCTCCCCCATGCCAGTTTTCATAAAGAAGCCAGCGCCCCCGGTATCCTGTCTGCCTCCCTTGTTTACCATGGCTGTGTCTTCATAGTTCATAGCGGCTTCATTCTTACAGCCCCGTGCTGCTCCTTTGTCATCCCAGCTGGGACTTACCAAGCCCACAGTAGACCCCAAGGCTGTGTCTACTTTTTTGTATCCACTAGCCTGCTCATTTGGGGTTTCTGTAGGGCATCCTTGGGTATAGAGGTGGTTTCTGTAGGGCATCCTTGGGTATAGGTGTGGGTGGTTGGTGAGAGACGGTGTGATCTCAGAGCCCTAGGTGATAGGTAGGTTCCAGAGGTCTGGGGTCACTAGAGCTGCTGGGACCTGGAAGTTCACAGTAAGGCCAGAGTGGCAGCTCAATTCCACCAGGAGGAGGTTCTGCTGCTCCAGACAGAAAGATGAGGTGACTGCGCATGTGCTCAGCTGGGACTCTAGGCTGGTGTCTCAGATCGCAGACCGTACATGACACAGTGTGGACAGTGAGGACAGAGCGAACAGGCTTTGTCCCAAGTCCCTACAGAAACAGCTTCACCGGGCCCTTTACGTGTGGCACGTCACCGGCCTGCTAACCCCATGAGGAAGTCTAGGGAAAGTTCTGGCCTCCTGCGCCTGGTATGGCAGCCCCTATAATGCTAGCAATTGGCTCTTGATAGTGGATATTTGTCCTGCATTTAATGACTTGTAGAAAACAGGACACACTGGCCACTCCATACCTATGATGTCACCAAAACTGGACCAAAGGAACCCCAAATTTATGCAGTGTTGTCTGGAGAGCTGACCTCACTATGTGACCAACTGGGCCTGCCCAGGCACCCAGTGTGAAGCAATGTGTGAGCCCAGCACCTTCAGGAGGCAGAGACGCTGCCTTGGGTCTCCCCAGGGGACAGTCCCACTCTCATCTCAGCCCTCTTCTAACCATGCTCTATAATTCTGTTTCCAGAAAACTCAGATTGCAGAGAGCTGGACTGGGGCAGCGAGAGCCGCGAGCTGAGTGACAGGGGTAACGCCCCCGCCACCTCCTTTCTCTCTCCCTTTTCCCTCAGGGCTCTGTCTGTGTCCCAGGGGCTTCTCCATCCCACATCGGGTCCTATTCCTGGTTCTCTGTTGGGGGACAGGCCCCCTGTAGTACTCACCAACTGCTCCAGGCCTCACAGACTTCTTTCTCCCCAGGACCCATGAGCTTCCTGGCAGGCCTAGGCCTAGCAGCGGGCCTGGCCCTCATCCTCTACTGCTGCCCTCCAGGTGAGTGCCCTAAGGCCCTAAGAGACTGTGGGAACTGGAGAGTGGCAGCTTATCAGTATGGTGGGCAGCCAGCAGAGGGCCCTGCGTGTCTGTCATCTTGGAGTCATCTCCCGTGAGACTTGGTCTCTCCTCTTGTGCTACCATAGGCCTTACAAGCCTAAACCCACTGAGGCCTGCAGCTTGCAGTAAGCCCCGCCTTCTCTATTTCCTCTGTCCTGTGATGCCTGAGTCTGTCATCAGAGGAGGCCTTGGGGATAGGGCCAGGTATGGGCTCCTACGGCCTTATCCGCTGAAGGCTTGGGGGTCACCCAGGCAGGAGCTAATGATCTCTGGGGCCAGAACCAGTTCTGATCTTTCATCTCCAAAGCAAGGACCATGTGTGAGTAGGAGGTAGGGACAGGGCCAATCAATGTCCAGCCTGCTCCAGCTTCAGAGCTGAGTTCCCCTTCACAGCTGGTCCTTGGATTGCCATTTCTTCCCTTTATCTTCTAGACCCCAAAGTGCTGCCTGGGACCCGACGCATCCTTGCCTTCTCACCTGTCATCATCGACAGGCATGTTAGCCGCTACCTGTTGGCCTTCCTGGCAGATGACCTCAGAGGGTTCTGACGGACCCAGACCCTGGGCCTTACCTGCTACTTAACCAAAGAGTCCCCTGGCTGCCCACTGTGGGGTCCATGCTTTTTTTTTTTCTAAATACTTATTTTTCATTATTTATAATTTCTATGAGAACACATCACCTTCACTCTTCAGGGTGCTTAATATTAAATGTTCCAACTGTCTCTGCTTGTCTCATGTCCTCTTCTTGAGAGAGAATGTGTGTGTGTGTGTATGTATTCATGTGTTAATGTTCTAACGTGGCTGTTTACATAGGACTGGCCCAGGTGCTCCTGGCTTTGAGTCCAGCCTTGGTCCAGTGCCTGCTCCATGTTCCCCTACCATCTCTCCTACGTCATTTGTCCTACCGTTGTGCCACACCCCCACCGTCCACACACTGGAGATGTCCCACACCATCCCCTCCCCTTTACCACATACGCCCCCTGCACAGTCCCCTCCCTTGCTGTGTCTTAGCCTTCCTGGTTCTCCCTGCCTGGATGCCATTGGTCCCACCACCTGGTCTTGCTATCTAGCCTACTGGCCAATGTGGGGAGAATGGCAGTCCCTCCCTGTTGCTGACCGAATCCCAGGCCCAGCTACTGGTGGTTGGCACAGTGGGTGGTGACGAGTTTACGAGTGCCAGAACTCAGAAACACCATTTCCCACGCAGCCTGAGAAAGTGTGGGTCTTTATCCTGACTTTTCTCTTAAGGAAGTGAGCCATCGGCTGTTGCTGTTGCAAGGAAAGGGAGACGGGCAGTAGGTCAGGTCTGAGCTCCGCCCACCCTGACCTTTCCTGTGACTAAGGAAGCCTCATGGTCCTACTCTCCTCATGGTCCCTGCCCTCTGCCAGGAGGTCACTGTCCAGCCACTGAGTCTCACCTCCTCCACACCCTGGTCAGGCACTATGTTCTGGGAAGTCCTAATGGAGCTGAGCCCTAGAGCTCAGATCTTATCCAATATCAAGTCAGTACTGCCCCGATGGGCTGGGTACGGCTGGAGACCAGGCCTCAGCTGTGAGCGACACTATAGAAAACACAGTCCTTGTCACTGAGAACAAGTGGTTCATAGAACCTTCTAGATCCTTTAGAGATGAAAAAAGTCACAGTACATTGAGGTCCTCGGCACTGGTCTCCAGCCACATCCTGCCCATCAGAGGCCACATGCAATTAGGCAGAATTTCATACGTCTGGTTGGGAGGGGTGGCTGGATACTCAGGGGTGGGTTCCATGACTCTTCCCACCCCTTCCTTCTATGAGGGAAGTCAACAGTTAACAAGCCCAGCTGATCTTTTGTGAGCAGGCTCAGCCAAACTACTGAAGATGGTGGTGGTTTGACTCAGAAGATAGTCCTGTACAACAACATACATGCAAACTTAATACATGTGCACCATACTCTGAACATACATACATATTCATGCTGTGAGCACGCACATATTCACTCATGTGTGTGTGTTGTATGTGCATAAACACAGATCCATTTGCATGTATACTCACACATGCAAAACACCAGACACAGGATGTGAGTCAGGGCACTTGATGGGCCTGGGTCAGGGTCTTTGATGGACCTGTTCTTTAGTGTTCCTCCCAGCCAGGCTTTTTTGAGGAAACAACATTGTCAACTCACAGAGTCATCATGAATTTTCTACTGAGCTCCCAGAGTCGCACATGCTGTCTTGGAAGATATCCAGGCAGGCTCAGGCTGAGATGACCTAAACGTGAGATGAGTTGGGCATGGTCCCCAGGGAGAGGCTCCGAGCATGTGAGGGCAGCAAATACAAAGAGGGCCCTTCCCTGGTCACCACCCTGCTGACTAGCTGACCCAGGCCCTTAGGCTGGTGTCTTGCGGGCATAGTGCGCATGCTCCATCAGAGAACCCTCAGCAAAGGTAAAGGAAGGCTGTCTCTTCAGTGCCTTCCCATCTTCCGGGACACACTGTGCCCAGTGAGAATGTGTGGCTTTGGAGACAGTGCCCAGTTACCATCTCACCACCCCACCTCAGAGCTGCAGTAGCAGGAAATATACTTACTAGTGCCCAAGCCTCAGTTTGAGCACTGTAATGCAGGAGCCCTACTCTGAGCACACATTTAGGAAGCATGGCTCCACGGACAAATCCCATGCTAAAGAACCATGGCCAGGCTGGGTGGTGGTGGTGCATGCCTTTAGTCCCAGCACTTGGGAGGCAGAGGCAGGAGGATCTCTGTGAATTCGAGGCCAGACTGGTCTACAGAGCAAGTGCCAGGATAGGCTCCAAAGCTACACAGAGAAATCCTGTCTTGGGAAAAAAGAAAAAAGAGTCATGGCTACAGAGTGTTGGATGAACTGATCACTTTGTTGGAAGGTTGCCCAATACATGCATGAAACAGTAAAGGTGACAGTAAAGGTGTCAGTTGTGTGGACAGGCCCTAGAAAGTAGAGGAAGGTCTCAAGGGGCACTGACACCTAGCTCTGTCAGCCAAAGGCTGAGAGGAATGGTGTCTGAGAAGGTGCTGGGCCCGGGTCCCATTTGACTCTGCTGCTGATGTCCTTGCTTATAGATGACACACAGACCAGTGAGCGCCAGTCCTCTGGTGATACCCATAGACCTGTGAACCAGTACTGGTCCTCTGACTGTACAGGAAGGTGATACCCACAGACCTGTGAACCAGTACTGGTCCTCTGGCTATACAGGAGGGTGATACCCACGGACCTGTGAACCAGTATTGGTCCTCTGGCTGTACAGGAGGGCGATAACCTAATGTAGGCCTGCTCACCCTCCCAGGATTGCCGGCTTTCTCCCTCTACCTATGACCTTCTAAGGGCCTACTCTGAAGCCCTTAGCCTGACAACCCCTGGACACAGGCTGCCCCTGAATGTCCCTCCAAGAGTGTCCTAGCCACCTGAGCCCCACCCCATAGCTGAATTCAAAGCCTGTGGCTGAGATTTTCAACATCTTGGATTTTGGCTGCTGTCTTCTGCCAGTCTGTTTCTCCACAGGACTTCTCCCTCAAGCTGTATCCCATGGAGGAGAGAGAACAGGAACTCCCAGCCTGGACTTCAGTATCCCCATGGGACCCTGCCCTTCCTTCCAGCCATCTTGTGACCTGGAATGACTTAAGTCCACAAGGAGCAAGGGCTACAACTGGCCACTCACTCACTGATGCCCCTTGCCACACAGGACAGTTGGGGTCACGTGCCAGCACACCACAGTTATAGAGGTTCCTGTAAAGGATAAGCCATTCTCCCTGTGGGCACCCCTTGTCATCTATCCTCTGACATATCCTCCGGGTCATGGGTAGGATGTCACTGACTCCTCTAGGTTGTCTTGGACCCTCAAGTGAAAACAGGGTATGCTCCTTGGGTGGTGTTCCCAGAAGGGAAGGGGCTAGTGGGGGTAGTGGAAAAAGGAGGTGCCCCTCCCAACACAAGGAGTTTGAGGTGAAGGAGCCAGTTGAGGGGGTTCTGAGCAGAGTAGATGGAATGTGACGGAGTGCTGAGCAAGCTGAGCACAGGCCAGTGGGGACACAGGGGCACATGAGGTCCAAGCCCAGAAACGCATCTGTATCTTACACAACCCAAGCTGATGATTTGGGGGTACGCTGACTCTGCTGTTGTGTCATTATTTCTAGTTCCTGCTGGGTCAGCTCTTGCAGACTAGGCCATCTCCCCTTTGCAGATGGCTGGTGTGGCCCTGCCAAGGTCCCCTAGTCACAAGTCCAATCAGCCACAGTCCATGGCTCACTTGGGTGGTCCTGGGCACTTACCCTCTTATGGAACAGATCGGGGTCTGGGGCAGGGATGCCTGTTGCACTTCCCACTGACTTTAGCACCTGAAGGGCACTCGGGGAGATGGAAAGCTGAGGGACACTGTTCTGTCCCATCACTGCTCGCTTCTCTGCCTCTCACCTATATGTTGGGTGAGGGAATGGGCATCCATTTACACAACAGGAGGTGGCCTCGCTCAGGGAGGCACTGATTAAATCACTGTAGGCCCCATCCCAAGGTTGGTTTTTTTGCATGGTGTTTTTGTGTTTTTTTTTCTGTTTGTTTTTGTTTTTTGTGGTTGGTTTTTTTTTGGGGGGGGGTTGCTTTTGTTTTTTAGTATTTTGAGACAGGGACTCACTGTGTGGGCCTGGAATTTGCTATGTAGACCAGGTTGGCCTTGAACTCACAGAGTTCTGCCTGTCTCTGCCTCCCAGGTAGTGGGATTGAAGGTGTGTGCCACCACTGCCCGGCCTTAATCTGACAACAAATCATGATTCGGGTACTATCTTGCTGAGGATCCAGGGCACCAAAGGGAGTTTGTGACAGAAACAATGCATGAGGTTGTGTTTCAAGGATCCTCACATCCCACTTTGTGGTCAATGGGGCAGGTACCATGGGTGTGATGGAGGATTACTCTGGCCTGAGAGTGGGTGGTGTACCCACTGGCAGAAGACAGCGCTGGGATCCTTCCTGAACCCCTCCCAGATCAGTGGCACTGGAGTCAGTGTTTCCCCAAGATTAAGTATTTTGGAAGAAACAACAGAAAGCCATGAAAGCTGTGAGGCAGGAAAGCGGAATTATGCCCCAGTGAAATCAGGAAGAAGGAGGTTTCTGGGAAATTGGATGGGGGGGAGGGGAGTGTGACAGGTGTGGGGAGGAGACACCTGTAGTCCAGCTATCCAGGACCACCTCAGCATGTACGAACAGGCGCCAGCCCCACTGCCCACAGTGCGTTTTTTTTTTGTTTTGTTTTGTTTGTTTTGTTTTGTTTTGTTTCAAGACAGGGTTTCTCTGTGGCTTTGGAAGCTGTCTTGGAACTAGCTCTTATAGACCAGGCTGGGCCCAAACTCACAGAGATCGGCCTGCCTCTGCCTCCCGAGTGCTGGGATTAAAGGCCACCAATGCCCAGCTCCACAGCGATTCTTAAAGGACATGTGGTAAGGTCAAAGAATGCTGCAGTAGCAACTGTAGACCTAGCCGGCGTTTGCCACTGGCTCTGGAGGGCAATGGTGGGTAGAGGGCTGGGCCAGACCAAGGCTCCATCAACGAGAGAGGCAAGGGAGCTGGGGAGACGCTCAGCTGTGCAAGCATGAGGACCCAATCTCCAATACCCCATGCAAAGCTTGGCATGGCCTTGTGTGCCTATGATTCGAGTGCTGAGGAAGTGGAGACAGGAGGATCCCTGAAGCTTGCTGGCCAGCCAGTGTAAAGGAATCAGTGAGT